CACGGTCGAAGTCGAAAAGGGCGGGTATCGAGGTTTCGGGGTATATGCGTCGAGTGGCCCGCGAGCAGGTCGGAACGAACAGTCTGATCATGATGTTTGTTGTTGATGTTGATGTTGATGTTGATGTTGTTGTTGTTGTTGTTGAACATAATTACTTCTAAAGAATAATTATTGTTGGGGCCCCTGGTGCACGACCCCCCCGCCGCGCCTAGGCCGCAGCCTCATTTTCATCATTTTCGTGAGGAAGTCTCAGGCAAAACGGGGGAGTCCGGATCCGGTTGTGTTGTTACGATCGGTTTTCCCTTGCAAAAAATAAGCTAAAGTGGACATTTCTTGTTCTAACATAACCAAACTTCAAGAATCCCTTGCAAAAAATAAGGTAAAGTGGACATTCGCGCGCGCAAGACGAAATCCTTCCAAAACCTTAGTTTTCGTAGCGATTTTAACATAAAAACATCAAAAAACCAATGGTTTTTCAAAACAAAATTGTCAAAATTTCATCCCGCGCGCTCTTGCGGATTCGTAGGAAACCCAACACTTTTTAATCATTTCTGTCAAACGGGCTTTTGCGAGCAACTTTTTCGAACTTCTGCAACAACGGTTGCGCACCTGCCAGGGCCATCATCCCTGTCAAATAATACCATGCGGGACACATTCGTTTTTTCTTCGCGCGCGCACGCCGTCGTCGTCGGCCGCGGGGCCCTGAATAGTAGCCACGGTCGTCCGCATGCCACGAAGTGAAGTGTCCGAACGTCATAGGGCGGGAAGCTGGGTGTGGGTGGTGGCGAAGAGTCGTTTGGAAATTTGGTAGAGCTTGAACCGGCCCCCCCACAAAGTGGGGGTATTGCCCGCCTCCTATGAAAACCCTGGCACTGGTGAGAACGGTGTGTCCCCACGTGCTAGTAATTGTTGTTGTTGTTGTTGTTGTTGTTGTTGTTGTTGTTGTTGTTGTTGTTGTTGTTGTTGTTCTTGCTGCTTCCACCCCTGAAGAATAAGTATTGTTCAGCCCCCCCGGGCCACATTTTTTCAGATTTAAATGCTCTCCCGGGCTCGCACCTCGCTTTTTTACCAGGTAGGGCGGGGAGTCACCAAACTGACCTTGGCCCCTGAGTTGCAACAGCAACGGCCCCCGCTTTATACCCCCTCGCAATTTAATTCCAAATCGCTTTTTCGTGCGGGACTTCCTCACAATGCATGCAGGGATCGCGCTCTCGCGTGGACCCCCCCCCCCCAATTTTTCCAAACGCTGCGCCCTCGACGTTCAGGAATCACGCCTTCGACACTCGACAATCAGGCGATTCATGCAGGACTCACGCTTCTGCAACCCGCCTGCTCGACCTGGCCGCCTGGGTCCACCTTTTCTGGCCTGTCCGTTACAGTCTATCTGCCCGATCTGCCCGTCTGGTTCTGCAACGGATTTCTTGTTCCTTGACCTCCTTCTGTTATCCTCTCTCGTGCTCCATCTTCCTCCTCCTTCCCCCTTGCCCCTTCCTTCCATCCGTCCTCTCTTCCTCTGCCATAGGGGCTGCACGAAGTACACGTTGTAGGTAAGGAAGGTAGACCCTCAAGGGGACACGATCGAAGAAGAAGAGGGCGGGTACCAAGGGTTTGGGATATACGTGTTGACTGGCGCGCGAGCAGAAAAGAGCAAACAGTCTTAACATGAGTGTTGTTGTCGTTGGACTCTCACTCTTGAAAAAGAATGATTGTAAACCCCTCCGATTGGTGCACATTGTATTTGATCAATTGAGGTGCCCTTTCCTCGGGGCTCGCACCCTATTTATCATGAGGGGAAACCTCCCTGCTCAAACTGCATTGTTGGGGCCCGAACAACAACAACAGCAACAACAACAATAACAATTTTAAGACTGTTCGCCTGTATCTGCTCGAGTGTCCAATAACGCGAATTTCCCAAACCCTCGATACCCGCCCTCGTCGTCTTCGATCGAACCCCTTTTGGGGGGTATACTTTTCTTCCCTGCAGGCTGGGCCCCGGCAAGCGGCGGGGCGGCCGCGGACCGTCGGCCTAGCCAACGGCAGCTCTGATCGGCGGGGCGGCCGCGGACCGTCGACCCGACCCCAGACGACGACGGCGACGACGATGACGGCGACGACGGCGACGACGACGACGAGCGAAAGTGAGAGCGAGAGAGAACGACAGCAGGGCCACGAAGGACACGAAGTAGGCCACGAAGGGCGACAACGGGGACACGAAGGGAATGCGTATGGGGCCACGAAGGGCACAAACGAGCGGGGGCCACGAAGGGCAGATAGATAATGCGGGGCCACAGAAGGCACCGATGGGGCCACTGAGGGTAGCAACTGGGCCACGTAGGACAGTGAGGGGGCCACAAACGGCGACAGCGGGGCCACGAAGGGCATGCGAAAGGGGGCCACAACGGGCGCGAACGAGCGGGGGCCACGAAGGGCATACGTATGCTGGGCCGCGGAGGGCAGGGACGGGGCCACTGAGGGCAGCGACGGGGCCACGAAGGGCAGCGAGGGGGTCACGAAGGGCGACAGCGGGGTCACGAAGGGCATGCATATGGGGCCATCACGGGCGCGAGCGAGCGGAGGCCACGAAGGGCATACATGTATGGGGCCACGAAGGGCAGCGAGAGGGCCACGAAGGGCTGCAACGGGGCCACGAAGGGGAGCGAGGGGGCCACGAAGGGTTGCAACGGGGCCACGGAGGGACGCAACGGGGCCACGAAGGGCTGCAACGGGGCCACGAAACAAAGCGAAGGGGCCACGAAGCGCTGCAACGGGGCCGCGAAGGGCAGCGAGGAGGCCACGAGGGGCTGCAACGGGGCCACGGAACAAAGCGAGGGGGCCACGAGGGGCTGCAACGGGGCCACGAAACAAAGCGAGGGGGCCACAAAGGGTTGCAACGGGGCCACGAAGGGCAGCGAGATCCCGATTCCTAGGTAATCTGTGAGGGAATCCTGAGCGTGAGCACGACTCCTGGGTGCCTGGGTGTCGGGAGCGCGGCGCTTAAGTAAATTGCAGGAAATTGCAATGCAAGGGCTCTATTCGTCAGTAAATTGCAGGCAAGTCTCCAGCGAGAGCGCGACTCTAGAGCGCAGGGAGCGCGATTCCTGAATCAATTGTAAGGAAGTCCCAAGCGAGAGCGCGATTCCGGAATCAAATGCGAGGACATCTCGGGCGGGAGCGGGGGTCTTGGTTAAATTATAAGGAAGTCTCAGGCTGGAGCCGTTGTTGTTGTAATCCGGGGGCCAGGGGCACAGTTTGAGCATCAATACTTTCCTTGTCAACAAGACAGGGTGCGAGCGTCGAGGGGCACACTTTGATGGAGAAACAGTATGCACAGGTGAGGGGGGATCAATAATAATTCTTTTTCCGGAATGAGAGTTCAACAACACATCCCGCCGGATATTTCCTCACAGCGTATTCCGAAATCCCGCTCTAGCGCGGGGCTTCTTCACAATGTATGCAGGAATAGCGCTCTCGCGTGGGACTTCCCCCCATGTATTCAGACGCCGCGCCCTCGACACTCAGGAATCACCCTGTAGCTTTGGCTTTCCTCGCGATGTACTTGGGAATCGCGGTACCGCTCGGGACGTTCCCGCGATTCATGCAGAACGCACGCTTCAGCAACCCGCCTGCTCGACCTGGCCGCCTAGGCCCGCCTTCCCGACCTGCCCGCTAGGGTCTGCCCGCCCGATTCCTTCTGTCTGGTTATACCACGTGTTTTCTGCTCCTAGCCCCCCTCCAGCTAATTTCTCTTGTGTTCCATCCTTCTCCATCCCCCATCCATTCGTCCGCCAGTCCTCTGCTCTAGGGGCTGCACAAGACGCACGTGGCAGATAGGGAAGATATACCCCCAAGGGGGGACGATTTAAGACGAAAAGGGCTGGTACCGAGGGTTTGGGATATACGTGTTGTGTGGCCCGCGAGCAGGTCAGAGCGAACAGCTTTATGGTTGTTGTTGCTGTTGTTGCTGCTGTTGTTGTTGCTTTTGTGGAAGTTTCATTCCTCAGAAATATATGTTGTTGATCCCATCCCCTTTGTATCTTTCAATTGAAGTGCCCCCCTTGGGGCTCGCACCTTGCTTTTTTACCAGGGAAAGCCTGGTGTCACCAAACTGCGCTGTTGGGCCCCGAACTACAACAACAACAACAGAAACAGCTCCTGCCTGATATTTCTTCACAAGCTACTCCAGAATCCCGCTCTCGCGCGGGACTCTCACAAATTATGCAGGAGTCGCGCTCTCGCGTTGGTTTTCTTGCAATTGATTCAGACGCCGCGCCCTCGACATTCAGGAATCACCCTCTCACTTCGGCATTTCTTATCATTTACTTGGGAAACGCGCTATTGCTCGAGGCGTCCCCGGGATTCATGCAGGGCGCGCGCTTCGGCAACCCGCCTGCTCGACCTGGCCGCCTAGGCCCGCCTTCCCGACCCGCCCGCTAGGGTCTGCCCGCCCGATTCCTTCTGTCTGGTTATACAACGTGCTTTCTGCTCCTAGCCCCCCTCCTGCTCATCCCGTGCTTTATCCTTCTCCCTTCCCCTTCCATCCGTCCTCTCTTCCCTTGTTCCAGGGCATGCACCAATTACGCGCGGCAGGTAAGGAAGGTATATCTCCAGGGGGTAAATCGAACACGAAGAGGGCTGGTACCGAGGCTGTGTGAGATATACGTGTTGAATGACACGCGAGCAGGTCAGAGTGAACATTATTAAAATGATTGTTGCTGTTGTTGAACTCTCACTCTTGAACAATAAGTATTGTTGATTCCTCCTACTGGTCGTCGTCGTCGTCGTCCTCGCCCGCGACCCCCCCGCGACCCACGCGACCTGCGACCCACCCTGCGACCCACCCCGCAACCCACCCCGCGACCCACCCCGCGACCCACCTTCGACCCACCCCTCGCCTGCCCCCGCTTATCCGCAAACTGGGGGGTGATACGTGTAAGCGTATCCGACGCCCCCAGGCCGTGTATATGGACATGCCCCGTCCCGCATCCTCTCCCTCCTCCCAGGAGCAGTGGGCCAGCCTGTCCAGGGAGCACGGCATCGACCTCTTCATCACGGGCCACCTGCACCGACAGGAGGTGCGGGCGCCGAACTCCGCCGGCAACCCGCTGGGGCCCACGGCCATCGTGATCTCTGGTGGCGACGGGGCGCGCAGAGAAGCATGCAGCACCTAGCACCTGCGGATAAGAATGGGGGGTGGGGCGGCGGCGCGGGCGCACCGCCACCAAATGTGGCCCCCGGGTGTGTCGCCCCCACAGCTGCGGATGCGAGCGAGGGGGCGGCTGGGTTGTCGGCAGTCTGCCAGACTCTGAGGACGCCCGCCGCAGGCGCAGATTCTTACGCATTGCACAACGCGCCCGCCGCATGCGCCGACTTTTTCTGTCCCCGCACGTGGGTGGGTCGCGGGCAGGTCGCGGGTGGGTCGCGGGACGATCGCGTGACGGTCGCGGGTGGGTCGCGGGCGGGTCGCGGGCGAGGATGAAGAGTCCAACAAACAGACAACAGCAACAGTAATACTTTGAAGGTTGGTCGTTCCTACATGCTCGCGTGTCAACCAACAATGTATACCCAAAACCTTCGATACCCGCCGTCTCGTCTTCGATCGTACCCCTCTTGGGGCTACATCTTCCTTGCCTGCCACGTGTAGTTGGCGCAGCCCCTAAAACAGGAAAAGGAGGGAAACAGTGAACACACATACGGCGAAGAGGGAAAGAGTGCAGGAAGGGCGGGAGGATGGAAACGGCAAGGGGGAGGGATAATCATGATGGACGATAGAAATTTGCAGGAGAGGGGCTGGGAGCAGGAAGACAAGCGGCATAATTAGACGGGCGGGTCCAGCGGGCGGACCCAGACGGGCGGGTCGGGCGGGTGTGTCGTTGAAGCGTGGGTCGCATGAATCGCGATGCAGTCTCTAACGATGGCGCCGATCCCAAGGAAATCGCGATGGATTCCAAAGCGAGAGGGCGTTTCCTGAGTGTCGAGAGGAAGACTCACGCGAGAACGCGATTCTTGTACACATTGTGAGAAAAGCTCGCGCGAGAGCACGATTCTGATTAAATTGTGAGGAGGTATCAGGCGCAAACCGCAGTTGTGGTAAACCGGGGGCCAACAAAACATTTCGGATACCCAAGAGTTGTCTTTAAAAGAGGGTGCCAGCTCTGGGAGGGGCACTTCTTTAAAAACACAAGATGCACCGGAGGGAGGGATCAACCATAGTTATTCTTTAGAAATGAGAGTCCGCCAACAACAACACTCATTTTCAGACTGATCGCTCTCAGATGCTCGCGTGTCATTCAACATATACCTCACAAACCCTCGATACCCACCCTCTTCGCCTTCGTTCGTGCTCCCTCAGGGGTACATCTTCCTTACCGGCCACGTGTATTTCAGCGCAACCCCTAAACAGATGACGGGAGGAATGAGGGAAGGGACAAGGGGGAGGGAACATGATGGAGCCCGATCGAGATTAGCAGGAGGGAGGGATAGGAGCAGGAAAACAAGCTTCAAAACCAGGCAGGCGAGCCGTGTGGGCGGGTCCAGACGGCTGGGTCTCCCTGGCGGGTCGCTGAAGCGTCAGTCCAACAGGAATCGCGTGGAAGTCTCCAGCGATAGCGCGATTACCACGTAAATCCCGAGGACGTCCAGAGCGAGAGCGTAATTTCTTAGGGTCGAGGGGGCGGCGTTCCAATGAATTACGAGGAAATTCCACGGGAGAGCACGTTTTTTGATGCATTGTGAGAAAGGCCCGCTCGAGAGCGCGATTTTGAATTCATTGTGAGGGGGCATCAAGCGGGAACCGGTGGCCAGCAGCACGCTTCGGAGATAAAAAAAAATGTAGAAGCAATAGAGTGCGAGCCTTTGTAAAAGCACAAGGTGCACCAGAGGGGGAGAATCATCAACAGCTCTCCTTTAGACGCAAGAACTGAACAACCACAGTCACAACAACAGCAGCATCAATAACACTCATTTTAAGACGGCTCGCTCTGACCTGCTCGCGGGCCAATCAGCACGAAATCCCAAACCCTCGGTACCCGTCCTCTTCGTCTTCGATCGTACCCCCTTGGCGTATATGTTTTTCTTACCTGTAGCGTGTATTTCATGCAGCCCCTTAGGCAGGGAAAGAGAGGACGGATAGAAGGAAGGGACAAGGGGGAGGGAGGAGGATGGAGCACGAGAGAGAATAGCAGGAGGGGGGCTAAGAGCAGAACACACATGGCAGAACCAGACGGGCAGATCAGGCGGGTAGACCCTGATGAGCGGGTCGGGAAGGCGGGCCCAGGCGGCCTATTCGAGCAGGCGGGTTGCTGAAGCGTGCGTCCTGTATGCATCGCAAAGAGGTCTCGAGCGATAGCGCGATTCCCAAATATACCGTCAGGAAATCCACATCAAGAGGGTGATTCTTGTGTGTCGAGAGCGCGGCGTTTGAATACATAGTGAGGAAGTCCCACGCGAGAGCGCGATTCCGGCCGAAGTTCTGAGGACGTCCCGCGCGAGAGCGCAATTTGGGAATACATTCAAAGGCAGTATCAGGCGGGAGTCGCTGTTGTTTCGTGACCTTTCCCTTTGTAGTAAACAAGGTGCGAGCCCCGGGAAAAATATTTGAATCGAAACATACAACGATTACTAGAGGGGCGATCAATTATAATTGTTCTTTACAGCTGAGAATTCAACAACAACAACAACAACAACAACAACAACAACAACAACAACAACAACAACAACAACAATTACTAGCACGTGGGGACACTCCGTTCTCACCAGTGCCAGGGTTTTCATAGGAGGCGGGCAATACCCCCACTTTGTGGGGGGGCCGGTTCAAGCTCTACCAAATTTCCAAACGACTCTTCGCCACCACCCACACCCAGCTTCCCGCCCTATGACGTTCGGACACTTCACTTCGTGGCATGCGGACGACCGTGGCTACTATTCAGGGCCCCGCGGCCGACGACGACGGCGTGCGCGCGCGAAGAAAAAACGAATGTGTCCCGCATGGTATTATTTGACAGGGATGATGGCCCTGGCAGGTGCGCAACCGTTGTCGCAGAAGTTCGAAAAAGTTGCTCGCAAAAGCCCGTTTGACAGAAATGTTTAAAAAGTGTTGGGTTTCCTACGAATCCGCAAGAGCGCGCGGGATGAGATTTTGACAATTTTTTGTTGAAAAACCATTGGTTTTTTGATGTTTTTATGTTAAAATCGCTGCGAACACTAAGGTTTTGGAAGGATTTCGTCTTGCGCGCGCGAATGTCCACTTTACCTTATTTTTTGCAAGGGATTCTTGAAATTTGATTATATTAGAACAAGAAATGTCATTTTCTATTGTTTTTTGCAAGGGAAAGCGGATTACAACAAAACAACCGGATCCTGTACACACCCTCTTTTCTGAGGCTTCCTCACGAAAATGATGAAAATGTAGCTGCGGCCTAGGCGGCGCAGGGGGGGCGCGCACCAGGGGGCCCAACAATAATTATTCTTTAGAATAAATAATGTTCAACAATCATTGTAAGATTGTTCGCTCTTATCTGCTCGAGTTTCCGTTAACGCGGGAAGCCCCGGCCTCAGGGAAGTCCAGCCTAGAGGTCCCGTCTTCCCGCGCCTCGACCAAACATTGAACCACCCGGCCTTGGGGGAGCGCCGCCTTCGCCGATGAGCTGTTCCCGCGTGCGGTCTTCTTTCTGCCCAGACTCTCCAACGACAGTCTTTTACCAACGCAAGAGGCGCCCCGTGGCAGAGAGCAGATACACGACGCGGTACGACGACGACCCAACGACGGACGACCAGCGATCGGCGCGGGGGAGGGCGGGCTTAGAGGCAGGGGGTGGGGGACGGCCCGCGCCCGGACCCAGATCTCCAACGACACGAGGCCCTGTCGCGCCCGGCACTGCTCCTCGGCGTTGGCAGCCCGGGGCCCGTGCTCGGGCCCCGGGCCTATCGCAGTGTGGCCCAGGGCGGGACAAAACCTCCCCCACGGAAGCTGTGGGGGCTTCCTGGGGGCCGCGGACTGGAGATACCATGTGGTCCCCAGGTGGCGGCGGGGGCATCACGTCAGAGGGCGTCCCCAACCCAGACGGCGACGACGACGAGTATGGCTTCATGGACATGATGTTCTCCAAGCAAGAGATTTCCATCGAGGCCATCTCGCATGGAGGACAGACCCGGAGCACCACGCTGGTCTACCAGCGACCACGGAGCGTGATTCCGAAGTTCATCTGATTCGCTCTATTCTCAGCGGCAGCGTCCAGTGACGTCTTGCCCAGTAATGCGTGCAACCGCAGACAACACCTACAAACCACCACGCCGGACCAGGGCCGTCCTGGCCCTGGCCACCAGGCACGGTGTTGGCGTAGCTTTTTGCTGTTCTGCTCCTATGTTTGCCGAGCAGCTCATTTTACAGGCAGCCCCCCGCGCGACCGCCGCGCCGTGCCTCTGTCCAGCCAGGGGGGAGGTCCACGCCCAGCTGCGGTGTGGGTTCTCGCTGTGCTGTGCTGGGCGGCGCGCTGGCGCGCTCGAGCCGTTCTCGCGCGGGTGGCAGGGGGGCGACGGAGCACCGTTATACCGGAGGAGGAGAAGGGTACCGCCACCGCTGCTCGTTCCGGAGAGCCCTCGTCGCCACGGCTGCTCCTCGAAGTGCCAGTCTGAACGCACCTTGGGAGAGGTATGGGCAGTTGCTGCATCGGCGTGCAGGCGGCCTCGGGCAAGCCTCGGCGAAGCCTCGGACGAGCCTGGGATGGTCACGAGCAGCCTCGGGCTGGCTCGACCTATGGAGTCTCCGACGTTCTTTCGATGTATACACCACGCCGTTTGGCCGGCCAAGGAGCCCAGGAGCTCGGCGAAGAAACCCGGTGCACAGGTTGGGCCATTGGGGCGTGCACACACCGAGTTCCTTGGCCGACCAAACGGCGCGATGCATAACTACATCGAGCCCCTCGCGGAGTCGATGGGCAGGCCAGGCCGGGGGGAGAGGGGCGGGATGAGAGCGAAGTCCCCCCCCTAAAGAAGTTCGAGGCGGCATCCTGGCGATGGCCGTGCTATCTTTTTTGCGGGCCCTCCCTCGGGCCCGACACGGGCCTGCAGGGCCGCCCAATCCGAGCAAAACCATATGCGCTCGAATACGTAGGCGTTCCAGAAAGGGCCTCGCTTTGAGGAGTTGAGAGGTTGACATCTCTTCCTCGGCGGAAGGCCAGCGGAAGGAGGCGGAAGTAACGCGAGAGCGACATCGCCCGCGGAAGGCCTGCGGAAGCTGGCGGAAGTAAAAGGTGTGGCCCCAAGAGATGACGTCTTGTTTTGATCAACCGCGCTGACAGTTCAGTAGGGCGCTAGGGGTCTGGGCCAAGACATCCGAAGGCGCGATTTTGTCCACGGCGCGTGACAGCGGGATGTCGTCCGGGGGACTGGTTCGTCACCCAGGTGACCATTAGGCCCCGGGGAGAGGCGTTCGGGAGGCCGAAACTGAGGTCACTATTTTCTTAGCGCCGTCGTTCTTTGTTTGTATCGTCGGAGGTTTGCGGTTCCTCCTTCCTCTCTGTCCCAGGCGATACATCCTGAGCGGTTGACAGCAGAGATTCCCAATAGTACCCATAGCATTTTGCAGTGGGCGGCGGCCATGGGTTTCACAGGATTCCAACCAGATGGTCGTCGTCGTCGTCTTTGTCTTTGTAGTCGTCGTCTGGTAGCCTCCTCACCTTGCTCCGCCGCCACCCCGCGTGCAAGCAGCCAATGCGAAATATGTGCCGCTCAGGCAGGGAGAGGCAAAGGGATGGGAGCTGGAGCGGGGAAGGAGTATGAGAATGAAGAGAGGGGGAGCGGAAGAGGGAACGGAGGGGGAGCGGTGGAAGGCGGTAGAGGATCATGGAAACGGGGGGAAAATGAAAGGAGGATGGACACGGGAAGACGAGAGGGGAGATGAGAGGGGGATGAGGGGGACTAGGAAGAGAAGGGGGTGAGAAGATGGACGATGAGGAGAGGGGAACCGGGGGGGAGGTGGAGGAGAAATTCTAATTTTAATCCTATACAAAGCGTCCTCCTCCTCCTCCTAGGGAGGCCGCTCAAGAAACAAATCACAAATCAGGGAAAGAGGTGCTCGATTTCGGGGGCAGCCCTCTGGAGAGCCGCGACAACACCTCGCGACCGGAAGATGTAGGCTTCCCGCAGCGCCTGGAGAGGGTCCGAGGGAGATTGACTGTGCGGAATCCGCCACGTACCTCGCAAATCAACACACCTCTCGGCACTGCAAGCTGATGGGGCGCATCACAAAACTCGACCAACGGGTGGTCCGGAGCCGCCCCTCCGACTGGCACGGCCGCGAAATCCTCAGGGACAGGGCCGTCCATCCCTCTCGGGTCGGCAGGAGGCCTCGCGGGCAGGCTCTGGATCTTCTGCTGTACAGAGCAGCGCGGCCTGCACGTAGGCCAAAAATCCGCCAGCTTCCCTCTCAATGGAAAACCTCTGAAGCACGTCGAACACTTGATACTCGCACTCCACAGCTGAGGCTCATGCCCGCAGTCTCGCAATCCCCACAACCGCTCGACAGCACTAGTTTGTTGGCCACGGCATCTTCTAGGAACGCGCTCAGCCCGCTCCCGCTCCCCAGTGAAGAGGATCTCCCGCTGGATAGCCAACGAACGCGATAACACATCGGACGCAAGTTTATCGGCCTGCGGGTCTGATCCACTAAATCCTCAGGAACCTGGGCACGCATGGCTGCGGCATCCGCAAACAAATCCGCAGCTAGATTCAAACAAACTTCCACGTCACTCAAAGACATGTTTTGGCGTTGGGCCTGGGTGGGATGTGATTTAGTCCAACGCACTTGGATAGACCACGCACGGGACAACATGACATCATGACACTTGGCCCACACATCCAACATCGACGAACGAGATTTAGCTGGCAACGGGAGACGTACTCCTTTAACAGCTCTCAAGAAATCACCGTACATTCTGCAATGGCCAGCCGTATTGCTGGCCAACATAATCAAGGCATAGAGCTCCGCTCTCGGGGAGGACTGCTTCACGGTGGGAAATGTGCCCACGATGATGGCGTCGAAAAGGCCAGTAGGACCTAGGTGGACACACGCCCAGCCGCAGCGGCGGAGCCGCCAGTCCTGAGTACATTTCCCCCAAATCCATCTATGCCCCACGCGCCTCCATCGATTTTCACTCCACCCACCGATCGGCCCCACTCCCAAACACAGGAAACTGGCGGCGGCAGATGCCAGCAGGAATCAGCCAAAAGGGGGAGGCCACGAAGCCAAAAGCTCGGGCGTCGGGGTTCGGCACGAACCCGATCAACAAGAGAACTAGTGCGATCCACGACCGCATCGAGCAGAGATTGGTTGGCGACGCACTCCCAAAAACGATGGAGCGGAGTCTCAGCTGAGGCGCCACAGCGAGGACACACTCCAGGCAGGTAACAACCAGGCAGGACCAGAGCTGGAAAGGGAAGTCTCCATCCGTCACGCGGAGCACATCTGTACGAATGCGCCAGCACACTGGAGAGACAGGATCCCAATTCGAATCGAGAAGCACCGCCAGCGTGGCCGCGATCGGACCTCGCACGACCTGCCATCGGCGCTGCGTGCACGCAAACTTGTAAGCAATATTATTCCAAACTTGTGCAACTCGAACTCGTTGTTTGTGGGGTAGCCGATTCCAAATCGATGCGAACGATTTCAACTGCTCATGCCGAAGCCTAAACTGGGGGTCCTCCTCAGCAGCACTAACAAGACTCAATCAAAACAGTGGTCGTGCAGGCCCTGGGGCTCCACCATCCCGAACACGTAGCCGCCTGGGCTCGCGTCGATCGCGCCCGAGCGTGGGAGAGCCCTTACAACTTCCTGGTCCCACGACCCGACCGCCAACACGGCGGGTTTGTAAAGCTTGCGGGTTCCCCCCTCCGGGCGAGTGAGAAAACGGACCCTCAGGGCCTTTCGCTTGGCCGAAGCGCGCCCTTGGCGCAACTTAGAAGCACGACGCCTCCTGCCTGCGGTGGTCATGACCCCCAAGTCTCGCACTCCATCAGCCACCTTGATAGGTAAACTAGCAGCACGGAAGAGGGTTGTAAGATGACCTCGCAGTCGACGATCAGAAAAAACAAAGGTGTTCTTACTCGAGATGGTAGCGCCTGCCTGCTCAAGCTGGTGGCAGAGGTGCGCTGCTGTAGGCACGATACTAGAGACAATATCTGACCACGCACCCTGCTGGGTCAGGGTGATATCGTCCACATATGCAAAAGTGGGCACTGGGCGGTACTGGGCATGTGCAAACTCCATCACATCATAAAGATAGATCTTGACCCACGGCATGGACTGCACACATCCAGGAAGCACCCCACGCCCCGTAGGGATAACCCTAGACACGAAGCCGTTGACCTCCAGGACACGCGGCGCCTCGTGCATCAAAATCCCCAAGTACAAAAGGCGGACGGGATAGGCCATCTTCAAGGCGAAGCCAGCAAGGCGAAGATGGTCAATCGTGTCAAACAACTTGCTCAGATCCCAGTAGAGGCCCACAGACAGCTCCCCAAGATAACTGGCCATCTCATGATCTATCTCGCAAAGGAGAGCCGCCTGCAACGCCGAGGATCCACGAATCGCAGTGTCCCAATGATTATCACGATCCCGGGACCACTCACTCATCAATGTCACGGCCATGAGCCCGACAATACAGGCGGTACAGAGAAGGGCACTTGCAAATAAGACGCTAGGGGGAGGAGGAGGAGGAGGAGGAGGAGGAGGAGGAGGAGGAGGAGGAGGAGGAGGAGGAGGAGGCGGAGGCGGAGGCGGAGGAGGCGGAGGAACCCCGACCCCAAGTGGAAGGAGGATGAGGAGGAGGAGGAGGAGGAGGAGGAGGGACAGAAGGGGCAGGGGAAAAGGGAGCAGGTGGAGATGGAGAAGGACACGGAGAGGGAGGAGGAGGAGGAGGAGGCGGAGAAGGAGGAGGATGACGGGGGGGGAGGGAGATGGTTGATGATTGGAGGAGGCGGAGGAGGAATATTCATGATACGGCATAGCCAGCCGTCGATTGAAGTCGATTGATGTTTTCTTGTATGTCGGACGAGGCATGCGATGTCGAACAGCTTTCTAAACTGAACAGCTGAGGCGGCTGCCACGACATAGCGCACACTTGGCAGCTGCCATCAGACAGGCGTTGTACAGTCAGCCTGTAGGCAGCAGGGCTCGCACAGGGCTTCGCCGTCGAACAGCCGTTTAACCTAACAGCTGAGGCGGCCGCCACGATGGGCACAGGCGTGGTGCGCCCAACGGGAAACTGTGCTCAGCATCGCCCGCGCCATCCTCGCATCTAAAAGCACCGCCAGTCTCGCTGCCCCCTCTCCTCTCGGACCTTGGTGATTCTGTTGTCGCCCTCTGTCCCCCACTCGTTCCTGCCCTCTCGCTGCCATTGGTCATTTGTGCATCTGTCCATCCGTCTGCGCCATGCTTCTCCCCGATTCCCCCTCCCACCCACCCCTCGGGGTTGATTTCGATCCGATTGAATATCGATTTCGGCCAGCCCGATCCGAGTCGATTCCGTATTCCACGATCCGATGCGGTCCGATGTTTGCATGGCGTTGTTGTACAGATTGGTGCGGCCGATCTGATTCGATTCCGATCCCTTGCCGATGCAGCCCGACTCCATGCTCCTCTCGATTCGATAGGACTTCTCGATTCGGTGCGGAATGCTCATGCCCCCTCCTTCCCCCATCGCGCCCTCGCCTCCCTGCCGCACGCCAACAGGCCCTCGGCCGCTGGCAACCGCACGCCGCCGCGGGCCAGCCGCGCCGCCTCCGCGGCGCAGCCCCTGCGGGCGTCGGGCGTGGCGGCGGCGAAAGCGCCCAGGGAGAGCTGCGCTGCGCGGGCCCTTTGCCGCTGCTCGCCGCCGCCGCAGTCATCGTCGTCCTCGTCGACGCCGCCCTCGGCCTCGTCGTGTGCGCGCTGCCGCTGAGGCCTTCAGTGGAGCTCCCTGTGGGGCCACGAAGCGTGCGATGGGGTGCACCGAAATGAGGGCGGAACTGCACGCGTGCAATGCCACTGGGGTCTTGGGTGAAGCTCCCTATGGGGCCACGAAGAGTATGAGGGATGTGCCGGAATGAAGGGTGGAACCGCATGCGGGCGCTGCCACTGGTGCCCTCGGTGGAACTCCCTATGGGGCCACGAAACGAATGCGGGGTGTGCCGACATGGCTCCGATGGACTCCTAGGCGCACCAAATGACCGGAACAAAGAAACGCCCCACATTTTTTGGGACATCTCTCACGCGGGAGGGGGTGCGTGAAATAGCTGTCCGATGCATCCGCGGACACCCAGGAACGCTGGTTTTGACACCCCTCCCGCGCCGAGCGTGTTCCAAGATGTATGAGGTGCAGTTTGTTTCAATTCTTGGCGCTTCGCGTATCCCCACCAGCATGAGTGAGGCTTCCGTCCTTTCCCCTCCCCTCGTCGCCTCCTGCGCCTGTCTCCCCTTCTGTCCTCCTCGCCGCGTTTGGCGGTGCCCTTCCTCGAGCTCTGTGCCGCCCGCACAGCGCTCCGCCTTCTCGCAGGCTTGGTCCGTGGGGGCTGGCGCCACTGTGCGACCCTCCACCGGCTTTTCCGGTCTGCTGCCGCCTTCCCTTCCCGGGTCGGCTCTAATGAGGTTCATTTTGTCCCTCGCACGTGCATTGCGGCGTTGGCCTATGTGCCTTCGTTGCCAATCGTCTCGCGTTGCGCCCCTGTCGAGATTGACCCGCTCTCTGGAACCGTCCTTAGAGCCGCAGATCAAACAAAAAATCCACCAGACCATCCAGTAACGATGCCCAGGCGAATGGAGGTGATCAGGGAAGTGAGGGAGCATACAGAGTAACAAAGGGCTGGGGAACCCGTCTTACCCAAGACGGCGAGGATGGAGGAGGAATCGGAGGAGGATGAGGAGGAGGAGGAACTGAAGGAGGAGGAGGGGGAGCGGGAGGAGGGAGGAGGAGCAATAGGCGGATGAGGAGGAGGAAGAGGAGGAGGAGGAGGAGGAGGAGGAGGAGCAGGACGAGAATGAGGAGGAGGATGAGGAGAAGGGCGAGCAGAATGGCCAGAGGCCTCTTGGATGCCTCTCGGAGTCTCTTCGGATGTCTCTTGGGAGCGTCCTGAAGGCCTCTTAGGGCGTCTTGGGAGCGTCTTGGCGATCCTGGAGGCCTCTTGGGGCGTCTTGGGTGCCTCGGGGAGCCTCTTGGGGACCGCTTGGGGCCATCTTGGGGCCATCTTGGGGCCATCTTGGCGCCTCTTGGGGCCTCCTGGGCGCCTCTTGGGGCCATCTTGGAGGCGATCGATCAAAGAAGAGGGTGGGGTTAATTAGCCTTGCCCCTCTAGATCCTCTAAAATCGCCTCTTGGGCTCATCTTGAGGCGCTCTTGGAGCGCTCTTGGGCGCTCTTGGGGCCGTCTTGAGGCTCTCTTGGGCCCCTCTTGGGGCTATCTTGGGCCCTCTTGGAGCCATCTTGAGGCCTCGGAAGGCCATCGGAAGCGAAAAGGCGAGAAAGCAACATTCATGTGTTTTCCTTAGATGTTTGAAGGATTTTGGCCTCTTGGGGGGTCTCCTTGGAAGTCTCGGAGGCCTCTTGGAGTCGTCTTGGGGCGATCTGGGGGCCTCTTGGAGCATCTGGGGAGCCATCTTGAGGCATCTTGGACTATCTCGAGGCATCTTGGAGCTCATCTTGGCCTCTCCGAGGCCCTCTTGGAGCCGTCTTGGGCCATCTTGGACGCTCCAACGCGTCGTGGAACTCCCCGTCCAGGTCCAGGGGAGGGGGTTCGGGGGAGGGGTAAACCCCTCCCCGAAGGGGAAGGAGGGAAGATGGAAGAGGAAACTCCCTAAACCACCTACGCCCAGAGGGCTTCTGGGATTATCTTGGGCCTCCTCTTCTCCTCCCCGTCGTCGCTGTCCTCTGCTACAGGCGCTCCTGCTCGCGGAATCGGAGCCGCACGATATCCCCGAGGAGGAAAAGGCGGACGAGGAGGAGGAGGAGGAGGAGGAGAAGGAGGAGGACGATGAGGAGGACGATGAGGAGGACGAGGAGGAGGAGCAGCACGAGCTAGAAGACGAGGGCGGGCCAAGCACAACGACGAGCAGGAGGAGGAGGAGGAGGAGGAGGAGGAGGCGGAGGACGAGAACGAGCCAAGCAACAGGAGGAAAAGCAGGAGGATGCGGAGCTGCTGCTGCTGCTGCTGCTGCTGCTGTTGCTACTGCCCATGCCCCTGGGTCTGCTACCGCTGATACTGCTAGCGCTGCAGTTCCGTCGCTAGCGCGTGCGACAGTGACGGGCAAGGGTCGGAAGCGCTGTCGCTATTCAGGACAGTCAAGGAAGTGAAGTTGTAGACGGACGACAGCAGCCACAATGGCACCATCGAAGCGTACGAGGAGGGTTTGAAGTGGTCTCGGCGTAAGCGAAACGACTTAGACTCAGCCGCGTAGAGGCGCTGCATGTAGTCAGCGCGTTTGCCAACGGCGGTCAGATGCCAGATGCGTTGTCCCTGCTCACTGGGGTCGGCGAAGTTGCAGCCACGCATCGCCGTTTTCAATGTTGGCATCGGCCTTCTGGGGGAATCAGGATGGGCAGGAACAGCGCAAACGCTCTGTATTCTTGCACTCTTTGCGCGCACGGGCGTGCTGATCTTGCGTCTGGCCCCGTGGAGATGGGTGGGCCCAGCGCAGCAGCCTTGCATGCACGAAAGGCTTACTGACGTTGCGTCCGTCCCAAGGGCCTACCGCCTAACCCTCCTTGAGTTTGGGTCAACGGTGGTTGACCCTAGCTCCCCTGGTATCGCTTGCGCTGTGGGCTCGCCCACGCGCCGGTGTTGGTCGAGGGTGCCCAGTCACAGGTAGACCAACAATTGTGCTCCCCAGGAGGATCACTGATAGGTGCACCCCGTCTGCTGGGGACAGTCCGCGATGGTCCAGGGACCTGAGGCGGCAAGCTTGAGAAAGAAGAGGGGGCCGATTATTGGTTCTGAGGCTCCGCCTTTTTCCTCTCTCCCCCATTATCCTCTCTCAACCCTCCAGCCAATAGGGTCACACAATTCGGAGTCCGCGCAGGGCGATGTCAATCTTCCGAGTGTGGACACCCTCGACCAGACGCCTGAACTCCACGAGCTCGATCCTGATCCCGATCCTTGTCCTCGATCTCCTCCCCTGCCCTCCTCTGACCTCCGCTGCTCCGCCTGCGAGGTGATTGGGGAGACAGAAACGTACCGATATCGCGTCTCCCCGGACCTCTCCCTGGGGTGAGTACTGACCAGACTTGCGAGGCAAATCCAGCAGTGGCGACGAGGGCCACCCAGGCACCCAGGAGGCCCAAAATGGCGGACGCGAGCCGAGGGTAGCGGTATCGGTACCTTCCCTCCTCTGATTGATCATTGCGCCGCCCTTCGCGACAGCTCGGCCCGATCCCCCCGCGCCGCCCGCGGCCCGGCCATGCCGCTGTGCGGCGGCCCGCCCCTGGCCGCGGAGGCGGGGCGCGCTGCGCCTGGCAGCGCGGGCGCGGCCTCCGCGCCGCCCGCGGCGGCGCGGGCGAAGGCCGCGGATTGGCGCCAAGGGCAGCGGCCACGCGCAAGAGTGTCCGCTCGCCGGAGAGGCTTTTGGTGCGGCCCTGCGGGGGTGGCCCCAGCTCGGAGGAGAGGGAGGAGGAGGCGACGCCGCTCCCCTTCCCTCACGTTCTCCCTTTTTGGGGCCTCCTGGGAGCCCCTCGTCGCCACTGCTGCATCCGCATGGCAATTCTGGTCAGAACGCACCCCAGGAGAGGTCCGGGGAGTGGCGGTTATCGGTACCTTTTGTCGGTGTCCCCAGGGCGGAGGCTTGGCCTCGCCGCGGCCCCCACGAGAAGGCTGCACGGCAGAGGTCGCTCCTGCCCAGGGTCGCTCTTGCGTGCTGGGGCATCTAGAAGATCCGGGGCCTCGGGCGGCCTCGGGCTCCTCTGCCCCGCGAGAGGGGGTAGCGCAGTCCTCGGGCCTCATTCCTCCTTCTCCTCGCTTCCTCCCTCCCTCCCTCCCTCCCTCCCCGTCGGATCGACCATGATGGGATACCATCTTGAGGCCTCCTGAGGCCTCCTAGGGCCTCGCGGGGCGGCCTCCTGGGGTCTCCGGGGTCCTGGGTTGTCCCGGAGCCACCTGTGGTCTCCTGGGTCCCCAAAGGCATCCTGAGGCCTCCTGGGACCTCCTGGGGCTGCGATGGAAGGGAGGGGAATACGGTACGAGAGGGTGGAGGAGGAGGAGGAAGGATGGAGTCGAGTCGACCCGACCTCGTGGAGGTCGAAAACTTCCCTCGCAGAAACCCCCCGACCGCTGGCTTCTGTCTTGCTGGAACTATGAGTGGCGTATCGCCCAACCATTTTGAAGCGCTCAATGTGGTCACGCGAGGCGCAACGGATGATGATCGGAGAAGACAAAGTAGCCCTGGTGTTGTCGACATTGCCTCTTGTTTCATTGTGACTCCCTCCATTCCACTTATTGATTATTCTCTTCCTCCTCCTCCTCCTCCTCCTCCTCCTCCTCCTCCTCCATCGCGCTCCGTCCTCCATTATTCCCTTTACCCTCCTCCTACCCCCCCTCCACTCTCCTCAAGCATTGCGGAGACTAGAAGACAGATCTCCGACGTCGTGATCGACGATGGCGCTTTTCCGACGGAGCTGTTGCATGGGATTCACCTGTTTTTGGCCTCTTTGGGTCGCTCGCAGACGGCCATGGTTGGATTCGCTAGCGGAGACACTGGCGGAATGCACTGGCTTTCAAGGTACCTCTCTGTATGCAAACATGCAGATGTGCATGAATGCGTTGGCGATCGTCCCCCTGGCAGCGGGTATCTATTTGAAAAGAATAGTTAAGTTATATATGTGGCATACTAATAATACGTACAGCCATATACTCACATACACATATACACAAGGATGCACATGCATGCGCCTATGTAGGTACACATACACTTATGAATGCATACGCCATACATCGAATGACGCATACACGCACACACACACACACATACGCACTGTCACACATACATACATGCCTATGGTTTACAAGTGAAGGTCACCGATGTCGACCATGTCGTTGTCGTCGTTGTCGTCTTCGTCGTCGTCTCAATCGTCGCTGGCGCCATCGACGTCATCATCAATGTCGTCGTTGTCAATGCCGCCGTCGTCGCCGTCGTCGTCGTCGCCGTGCCCGCGTGCGCCATTCAAGCGTCGCCTTCGCCATCGCCGCCATCGCGACCATCGCCATCGCCATCGCCGCCATCACATTCGTCAGACTCGCCGCCGGCGCCTTCTCGGCATCGCCGCCGTCGCGCAAGCGCTCTTAATGTTTGTGCATGGGCCAGCGCAGCGGGGGCACTTTGAAATATCATTGGGGCCGACAGCGAAGCAGGAAAAATACTACATCTGAAGCGAACGTAACACGTCAGGTAGCCCCACGGGGAAAACCGATGGTTTTTTACTTGCTTTTCTCGCAGTTGAAGATGCCGATGAGCCACGCTGTGACGGCCGTGCCTGAAATCTTGCTCTTCTGTCATCTTCTGGACGGGGGCCGAGGAGGGGGGAGAGCTCGCCCATCGCGTCCCGCTCTCCGTTCCACCGTTGGGTTGCCTCCTCCTCCTCCCCTCATCCTCAACCAGTGTAGATGCCAGAAGACAAACGTCTGACGTCCCGTTTTCGTTGGATGACGGCGCTGTTGAGACCGTGGGCAGGCCCAGAGCACCCGAAACAGTTTTGGTGTTATGACGGGCGCGTTCGGCGTTGAATCATGTCTCATTGAAAAAATACCCTTCGGATATTCCGAAAACTGCTTGGAGGAGGAACGAATACCATCTCTGCACGAGGGAGGATACACGATCAGGACGGTGGTGGGCGGGAGAGGGAGGGGGATGCAGTAGGATTGTTCCGCGGGTGTCGCGCGTTCGCCCCTTTTATCACACGAGGGGGAGGGGGGGCAAATTCCACTTTCGCGGCATCAACCAATGCCCAGCAAGAGTGTGACAACGCGTACCACCCTGGTCCCTGCGTCTCTTCTTGGTCAAAAAAATATGTATGCGGACCGCCGCAGGAAGTCCGCCTGCTCCCTCGACGGCCCGCGACGTCGACTGCGCTTTCTGGCGCGCTCGGCACCGCGCCTGCAAAAGTCGCCTGCTCCCGCGCCGTCGAAGACCATCGTCATCGTCATAATCATCGTCATCATCATCGCCATCATCATCATCATCATCATCATCATCATCATCATCATCATCATCATCATCATCATCATCAGCAGCAGCAGCAGCAGCAGCAGCATCATCACTACCACCAGCACCATCGCCAGCACCATCATCGCCTTCATCGCCAGCGTCCACCATCGTCATCATCATCGCCATGTTTCTTATGCTTCGACATTATTATCACCGTTATCATCACCAGCATCATCACCACCATCATCGTCAATGTTACCATCCTCGTTGTTCCACGCCTCCTCCCTTCCACGCGTCCATCCAGTTTCCGCCTTCCCCTCCTCCTAGTCCTCGTCCTTGTCATCCTCCCCCTCCTCCGAGACCCTCCCCTCTTCTTCCTCTACATCCCTCGTGCCCCTCCTACCTCCGCCCCCTCCTGCTCCTCCTTATTCTCCTCCTCCTCCTGAGTGATGGAGGAGGAGGAGGCATGTGTGGGATAAGAATGATGCCGGAGGGAAGAGGGAGATTGGATGAGGTGGGAGGGTCCTGCAACCTAGGCGACCTGGAGTTGCTGAATTTCAACGTTTCAAGGTTCGAGAAAATAATCGGGTATAACTTTTGATTCTAAAGTGTTTTTGGGGGGCATTTTTCAAATTATGAAATTTCGAAGTGCCCTGGCGTCAGCAGGCTAGGCGATCATGAATCCTGAAAGCTCCTGGTCCACAATATCAAACAAAGATATAAAGCTTCAAAACTACAGAATTTGCTTATACTATGTAGCAGCTCATTTCCGTTGCTTTTAAACATCGAGACTTTCCATGGGCCCTGGAGTCCGCAGCACAGGCGACTAGGAATCCCCCAAACCGCAGAGGGTCATGACATTGATGAGTAGGGTGGGAGATGAGGAGAAGGAGGAGAAGGAGGATCACCAGGACGATGGAGATGAGGAGAAGGAGGAGGGGATAGGAGGGAGGAGGGTATGAGGTTGAATACCCCCCAAGATGGTATCCCCTCATGTTCGCCCATTCCACTTCCTCCTTCCCTTCGATCCAGCCGTTCCCTGATCATCTCGTCTGCGCACGGGTTCTACATCATGCGTCTAACTCCGAGGAAGACCAGGCCCCCAACGTCTTGGAACAATCCGTGTTCTTAGCTCGAGGACTTTGATGATAGCTTCTGGCATTCTTCTGGGCCTCCTGGCAGCCACGGCTGGATGCGCCCCGAAATTTTGCGCCGAACGCACCCAAGGCGAGGTCCGGGAATGTCAGGAGGTTTCTGTACGCCTTCGGCCCCCAGAGACCCTCGCCGGGCCCCAGGGTTTTCAAACAGTTTCTCGGGATAAGAAGCTGGTCCTGAGGCAAGGGTCCAGACCTCCGGGGGTCCACGTCGTGAGGAAATCGCGACGTCGGGGGTCTGAGTCAGGTGGTCCTTCGGGGTGCTGCGGATGCTCCCTGAACGTCTTTGGGATTCCTCGGGGGCGCTCGTAGGGCTCCTGAAGCTCTTAAAGGAGTGTCTGAAGATTGCCGGCGGCTCTTCGGGAGGTTCCAGGTGTCTCCGGAGATCTCTAGGTGCTTCTTCGGCGTGCTCTGACGGCGTTCCAAGGAGGTCCGCCGTCTTGTTTTGGCGCTTGGAGGTGTCTGGTGGCAGCAGAGGTGCTTCCCCTCAGTTGCGCCTCGCCGGGGCTCTTCGAGGGCGCCAAGGCTGTCTGGAGCAGCTCTCTTCTGGTCCCGCGGCCGAAGAGTCCAGACCCCTTGGCGTCCTGAGCAGTCAGGGCGAGCACATGTTTTGAGGCTGGTCCTGTGCAGGCCCGATCCGAAGACAAGCCAGAATGGATGAGCGAGTGCAAATGACACGCGCGTTGTGCTTCAAACTGCGCGAGCCACCCGTTCGCTTCTTGAGCAACCGTAGCGTGCTGTTGGGGTCGTCTGGCTGGCGCAGCATTGGTACTGCCGTTGCCCTCCAGAGAGTGCAGCCCACCACGGTGCGAAGTCCACGTGAAGGAGAAGGTCGAGAGCATTGGAGTCCACGGTATTGCTGAACCAGGACGTCGGAGGACTGTGTCCAGCCGTCTTCGAAAAAACGCTGCGAGCTCTCGTACCTCGCGAGCGGCCGAGCTCGAAAGCTCCCGCCGCCCGTCCGAAGCTGCGCGTCGATGGCTCCGGCCTCGACTTTCCGGGGGTTCTTAGATGTGGGAGTGTCCTGAGGGGGGTTCGGAAACGAAGCCAGCTGGATGCTTGCCTCCTTCTTCCAGGGATCATTTAGGGTGATCTTCCTCTAACCCAACGTCTGCCCCTATCCCACTTTTGCGTCCACCCGGTGGGAGTGCCTTTTGGCCCTGGGCCCGCGGGTGCCCCCAGCCAGGCCGTTCGGGAGCTTCTGCGGGGTCCTTTGTGAGCTTCGTCCGGGGCCCTAGCTGGAGCCCACTGGGCCTCGGTGACGGCCCCGGGGACGCGTGTCCGAGGCGGGGATTTATCCATATCGCTCTTCGGGGACTGCTGCAGGCGGTGGACATAGACATTTTCGGGCCCCCCGGAGCCAAACTCTGTCCATGTCCCGCGCCTGCTGGGGTCCCAGACGTTTGTTCCCCAGGCGGCGGATATGAAGATGATCCCGCCTCGCAAACTGGGGACAGGGTGGCATTCGTGGGCACCGCGGGAAGGCCGTGCCCCTGAGCGGCGGCTACCAGAGATCCGCGGGCGGCGGCAATTTGGCGGTGAGCGCCAGTCTCAGCGACACGCCGGTGCTGGAAGTCCTGAGGGAGGCCGAGTCGGCAATTGACCAGCTGAGGCACAGCGAGGGGGAGAGGGCGAAGCTGTCTCAGGAGCTGGAGGTTCTTCGTGTTCGCATCCAGGACGCTCCCGACGGAGAGTTCAGGTGCTTCAAGTGCAGCATTACAAACTGGGTGGACCGATCGGTCTGCAAGCACTGCGGAGAGTTGCGCGCAGACATGGCTTTCCTGAGGAAGGTCCAGGGCATGAAGGCCCGCGAGAAAAGGAGCCTGCAGGAAGGCCGTGGTGGTGGCTTCTTTGACAGGCAGTCGGCGGACAAGAAAGAGTGGAACTCCGACGACGAGGAGCTCGACGAGTTCGGACGGAAGAAGAAGAGGCGGAAGCGGGCGGCGTAGTCTTTGCCGGGCGCCCGCTCGCTGCGGATTCTGCTGCTGACGATGTCCACGACGGAGGCCGTGCTGATTCTTCCCAGGTCGACGAGCCGTGCCGAGCGGCTGGCATGGGGGACCACGGCACTGTCCGCGAGCAGCACCCCTGGGGAGGCCACCCCGGTGTGACCAATGTTCGGCCAGGCAAGGTCGCCTGCCTGCGCTGCCCGGCGCTGCGGCCCCAGGCGGCGGGCCGCCTGATGCTGCCTGCGGCGCACGCCAGTGGCGCTGAAGCCGACCGGAGGGCGGCGCTGCGCGCGCGGTTGTCCGCGCGCCAAGGGGCGCCAGAGGCCCCCAGATAACTAGTCGGGCCGCGGGCGCTGCCTGGCGCCCGCAGCGTGCCCCCTCCCCCCTCATTCCCCTCTTCTCCCCATCCGCTCTCTCGTTGATGTCCCCATCCCTCGTCTCGTGGTCGCAGGGCCGTCCTTTCCGCGGGTTTAAGAAAGTGACCCAGGTTCGGCCTCTTGGGTCCTCGGTCATATCCGCCCGTGCCACGGCTTTCCTCCGCGGCAGCTGTCACAGCAGTTGGGTGAGCTTCGAGGAGATGAAAAAGGGGCGCCGCTCTTGCGCGCTTCTTCCCTCCTTGGTGCGCAGTTCTTCCCAGATAATCTCGGAGAGTTCCAACGCACTCCAGCACAGCCTTGCTGCCGCAGGGGCGGTCAGGCGCATGGTGACACGCTGCTGTGTCTTCGGGAGATCGGGGCCAGCCGTCTGGTGCAGATCTGCATGGCTAATTTCCGAAATTGCTTATCCAGTTGCGCTGTCGTGCATACTTACACCTGGTAAGAGAGAATTATGCCCTCCAAACCTAACTAAGGGGACCTGACCTGGCCCGAGCCCCGTTCCCGGCGGGCTCCGGTTGCAACCTGGTGGCAGGAACACCTGTTGCGTGCAGTTTTGCTTTGGTGAGCGGCTGGAGCGTCTATAATCTTGAATTGATGATCTCGCTTGAGCGCGGGCCACCTTGTCATCGAAAAGCAGCGATCCGACCGCAGCGCAGGCTACGCGCCCGCCCTAATCCGGCTGCAGCGGCGGCCACATGCCACTGTCGGAGTGTTGCTCCAACAAGAGAGCCAGCCAAAGTCCCGCGTCGGAACATCTCTGTATTATCAGTGCCAATCCCATCTCCATGTCGGAATGGTGCTCAGGCATCAGCTCCTGCCGCATCCGCGTCTCGGAAAATAGTTCCAGCCTCAGTGTTGGCCTCATTTCCAGCTCATGGTTAAACCCCTGGCGCAACATATGGCGAAACCTATGGTGTACCTGTGGCGCAACCTTGGGCGCAACACATGGTGCCTCTTGTAGCACAACCTGTAGCGACATCCATGATGCAGTCCGATAGGGGAACCTCTATCGCAACCTATGGCGCATCTAATGGGGTAGTGTATGAGTTTATGGCCTATGGCGCAACCTGTGGCGCAATTTACTATATGGTGCACCCATGGCGCAAACGCTTTCGCGACTTACAGCGCACCCCAATGCGCAGCATATGGCGCCGCAGCCGCTGGCGCAACCTACGGCGCACCCGACGACAGCGACGACGAGACCGAGGAGGAGCACAGGACTCAAAGTAGCTGGCTCTCACTGTCTCAAAGGGCTACGCCCAGCATCGGCAACCATCTTCGCGCGTGCCAGGTGCCAGTAGGGTCGGCCTCATTTTAACCACCTGGGATCCGGTTAGGGTCAAGATCGCCCGGTCCATTGCCGGCGGGCCTGTGGGGGTGGAGTCATAACATGTTTCTTGGCGTCAGGTTACGGGTCGGGGGGTTGCAAGCTTGATGGGGCAGAATGGGCCGGGTGGGGGTGGAAGATGAAGCCCTTATTCAGACGATGCGTGGGCATTCTGCTTCATGTTCTTGGGGATGCCATTCGTTGATGCAGTTGAAACGCAATAACGACGCCAGTTGGGATCAATGATTTGGGACATGTGCCCGCCTGCCCACACACCTGCTTCGAGCGGGGTAGAATTTGTTTGAATCACATCCAGTATGGGGCCCCGTCGCACACGCGCACACACACACACACATACTCACGCACGCACGCACGCACGCACGCACGCCCGCGCGCGCGCCCACGCACACGCACACGCACACGCACACGTACACGCACACGCACACGCACACGCACACGCACACACAAGCACGCACGCGACGGTACGACAATATCGTGTAGTTTTCAGTGGGGACGGGCTTCTGTTTAATGTTATTGTGCCAGGCTCCCATGTCCTCGGAAGCAGATCCCTGGAGCGTGGTCCTCTGCAGCAGGTTGTCCACCGCGCTTTTGATTGTCCTGGTCTTCGAAACCCGTCGATGCAGCAGAGCCTAGTCGCCAGTCTGGTGATTTCCCTTTTCCTCGGAGGCAGACTTTGACGATGTGGACAAGGACGACGACGACGACGACGACGACGACGTGCGACGCCATCTGGCAGCCCACCGTGCATGCAATCTGTAGTGTGGGGTGGCTTAGTTGGTGCTCCACGCCCCCAGCACCCCCAAGCCACAAAAAGCACAACACCTTCACTGATCGTTCGCTCGTCGTCGTCGTCCTCCTCCTCCTCTTCCTCCTCCTCCTCCTCATCCTCCTCCCCCCTCTGGAACGCCTTCGAAATCAACGAAGTCGTGAAAAGAAACAATGACAAGCGTACGAAAACCACATGCAAACAGCATAAGAACAGACACCAAACAAACCAAACAAAATATGGTTTCGGGAGAACCTTGGCCCCCCCCCCCATACGTTCGCCTGAAACCAGAGTTTTGCTTGTTTTTGTTTTAATGTGTTCAATCGTTTCCGTCCTCCCTCCTGCGCTATCCTATCTCCCCCTCCTTCCTCCCTGAGGAGGAGGGAGGGGGGCCTTTGATGAGCCACCCCTCCTCCTCATCATTCTTCTTCACTTGCATCCTTCCTCCTGCGCTTTCCTCTATCCTCCCTCCTCCTTCCCCGAGGAGGGAGGAGGGTATTTGATGAGTCACTCCTCCTCCTCCTCCTCCTCGTCCTCGTCGTCCTCCCCTCCTCCTCCTTATCCTCCTCCTCCTTGTCGTCGTCATTATCATCATCACCAACGTCGCCATCATCATCATCAGCAGCAAAATCGCACTCATCTTATCTAGGTCATCTGCACCCTCCTCCTGATCACCCCCTCCTGGGGGCAAGTGGAGGCCGCAACCGCATCGATTGCAACCCAGTCTGTCGCAGTTCTTGTTTTGATATATTTTCTGAAGGCGTTCTGTCTCATCGCGCAAGCCATTTGGGTGGGTGGTCGGCATCGACCGCTTGGTTGGCAATCGTACCTACAAAACATATTGGCTCATACGTGAGCACGCGCATCGCGCCGACGGCCCTCGGCTCCGACTGCGTCGCGCCCAGTGCGCGCCCGCAGGCGGGTGGAACGCGTGCGGCAAGACGTGCCGATGGCACCCACTGTGATTGCACCTGTGGCTCCATCCGCCCTGCTTATCAGACCACTTTTTGAGCTTGCCGAGGGCGCCCTGGTGCAATGCGGGCAGCTGGCCCCCGCCCACTCTGGCAAGTGCCCGCACTTCTTCAGCACGTCGATGACGTGTTTCTGAACCTTGTTCATGAAGTCGGACAGCCCCGCGCACCACTTCACCCTTTCGTTCCGAGATTTTACTGTGCAGATCCCGTGCCTCACGTAGGGTATGCGCTTGGGAGGGCTGTCTGCGGCCTTCATTACCGCCTTCTTTACCTTCTTCACCGACCGGTCCTGGCTGGCCGCCCTGCGCTTGCCATTCGTCGATAAGGGAACGTGCGGCATCGCAGCCCGCAGCGGCTGTCCCACCAGAGGGCGCAGGCGGCCGCCGCGGAGATCACTTGAGCCAGAACAAGCTGCGGCATTCTGCAAT